AAGAATATACAAACGTTTCGATAATAAGTAAGAGACAAGTTAAACTACAAAAGGTCCAGAGCTTCCCAAGCCTATTTATTAAGCCTGTTTTCAGACTGCCTGTTTTCTTTGAGCTCTCAGGAAAGACATCAGTGAGAAAAATTCTCTCCGACCCTAGAGAGCTTCACTGTGCCAATTCCAATGTGGCGATTTACGCAACACTGTCTAGTGCAGTTCACATCAACAAAATCATTCCACTAGCAAACAGACCAGTGCAGGTTGTCAGCACTGCTATCAGGATGAACTAAATGGCCATCCCGAAAATTAGATTGCATCTTTTAGTGTCTGGAGTCTGAAAACTGTTTCCATTCCTCCAGACTCAATGTAGAGCTATATATGCAAGTTCTACTCCACCTAAGGATTAGCACATGTTGCCATTAATAAGAAGCTGAAACCTGTTGTTTGTCAAGAAACAAGGAATTTAATCCAGTTCCACAACTTGTTACCACAGTTGATAGACTTTATATTGCTTTATATACAAAGCAATGTACATAAAGACCCAGCTGTTAGCATTAGGAACAAGAAGTGCATTTACTATCTTGAACACAAAATCCATAGCTAAATAGAGACCGCACTGCAAGCCAATTCTATTGGTAGCAGTATAAATTTCTGGCATATCCATATTCTCATATACATTTTAAATGTCCCAGATTTTCATTGGCTCCATTCAGATTTCAGCTGCTTAATCTTTACATATTAAACTCTGCCATGAAAATGTTAACCAAGACTTTTTTGCACACAGGACAACAATATAACCTGCAGTCCATATCAGCTGACAGTAAACAATGTTACCTTCTATGCCCAGAACATTTTGACTCTTGTTTTCTTCTGAAACTTCAAACTTCCTTATGATGTCCAGACAAAACTCCGTCGTCACATTATTCATCTGCACAAAAAACAACAATGATATACTTTTTCATCTTTCAAACTCTGTGACCAACATGTCAAAATCTACCGCAGGCCCCAGTATCTATTTGGAAATCCCATGGCCACAGTCTGCATGCAGCCAACCATGAATACCACTGTCAGTAACAGTATTCTTCCATGACCTTTTAAAAAGCTGGGGATTTGTGCTTTTGGTCAGCATCCTGAATTTCAAAACAGGGAGAACAACACTGCAGAGAATTAGCTATCACAGTTACAACCATATTTGATCTAAACAGCTACTCTGCTGTCAGGAAATGGGATTTTAGTAATCGCCCTCACTTTAATATTTCTTAGGACTGAATCACACTCCTTCCCCATATACACTCCCCCTCCCCCAATGCTGGGTTGGATCTCATGGATCTATTCCGCTAAGGGCAGTGCTTTCTTCTGGTGCAAGGAGCCTTCAAGAAGTGGAATGCTGCTTGCTATGAAGAAAACTGCTACTATTATTGGATCAACACTGGAGTGGATCAATCCACTGTCATTCCCCTCCTCCAAAAACAGCCATCCCAGTTTTCTGTTTCATGTTGCATATGCAATCAGAAGGCATGAGCTGTGTAACTGCCTCTAATTTTACAGGAATAAGCCTTTAACTTTTACTCTCTTGTACTATAACCTATTAAAAAATCCCTTATTGCATTCTCTTATTGTCAGCACAAATATCATACCCTTGCTGTTCTGTGCACTATTTATAATCAGTTTTTGGCAACAGAAAATCAAAAGTAATAAGGGAATGCTTCTAAAGAGATGCATCTGACCTGCAGATTGGAACCAGAGAGTGGTCATTTGTGTGGTGCATGCACATGATCAGTATGTGGTATGAGTATATACATATGAATCAAAGTAGTTTGTCCCTTTTTTAGGAGGAAGTCTGCTGAAAAAGGAGCTTCTGGGTATGCCAGTGCATATGGAACTCTAGATTGGGACTGTAATATTATTTATTATTTAGATTTCAGGACATTAATGGATTCTCTGATGTCCCAGATGGTCTATTGGGGGGGGGGGGTTTGAGGGGTATTAACAAGATAAAAATGGATAATAAAAACCATTAAGATGTTTTTGTGCTTGGATTTTTTTCAGGTATAATACAGAATACACAACAGGCATCACTTATCGCAGCTTGATTTAAATGGCATTTTAATGTACAATGTTTATCACACAACTATGATGGAAAAAGAAAGAGAAAAAAATCCTTTAGTGAATATCCCAGGTTCTAGAAACCAAAATTGACCTCATTTATAACATTCATTAAATCTCCTTTTGTGCTCAGTCTTCATTTGTTTCCTCCTTGAGGGGAGAAATTTCTGCATTCTCTTCTGTTTCTGAATCACTTATTCCCTAGAAAGAAACTTCATACAAATTCTTACTATTAATACTGTGTCTCCACCATATTAGCACATGCAGCACAGCAAATGAAGAGCATTAGAACAGCAGAAGCATCCTGCCTGCCAGTCACATTGTAAAAACATATCCATTAAAAGTGTGGAGTGGGCCTTCCCTCTTTTTGTTTTGAGCAGGTGGCAATGACTACAGCAAACCCTGTCAGAAACTTCTAGAGCACTATGACGTCTTGATGTTTTCATTAAACATCAGGTGATATTGTATATGTTTGGATCACATGTCATATTAAAATATAATTTTGTATTTATTGATAAACATTAGCCAGCCAAGATCCAATAATGTCAACCTCTCATCCCAATAAAAGCCTGAGAAGGCGAGGGGGCGGGGAGAGACATTGATTCATCAACAGGAACTCTGTTGTCCACACCAAAGTCAGGACTTGTCAATACATGCAGCAGAATGGGGCAGGGGTGGGTTTGGATAGAACAGACTGTACCACTTGAGAAGGGAGGTGAGAGAATACATTTTTCAAAGATCATCTACATCAGGGGTCCCCAATGTGGTGCCTGTGGGTACCAGGGTGCCCACCAACACTTTTTTCTAGATCCTACCAAGTGTTTTTAGAGAGCAGACAGGGCCAGGTAGGTTTCTGGCCAGCAAGGCTTCTAATTGGCTGTGCAGATTTTTAAAAAACTTGCTAAAGCAGCAGCTGCCACCACAGCACGATCTTCACTGTATGACTAAAGGTAAGCTGCAGCAGCCACTTTGTGGCTCAGTCCCCCTCCTGTGGCAGTCATTTTGAGAAGGGTTGCCAGGTCCTACCTCCAATTTGGTGGGGGGCTCATAGGTCCTCACTGGAACTTCTGCTACCCCCGAACAGCCCCCTCCTGCATCAGCAATGCGATGACATCACGCATAATTGACGTCATTGCATTGTTGATGTTGGGGGAGGGGTGACACTCTAGTTTTGGGGCAAAACTCTATGGGATTTTTGCCCTCAAAACCATAGAGTTTGCACAAAAACTAGAGTGTCACCTCCTGATGTTGGCAACATGATGACATCACTACCGGGTGATGCTGTCCAGCAATGGATTGGAGCCTCCGAAATCAAGGGAAACTCCACCCCAAGCAGAGGGATGGCAACCCTAATTTTGAGGCAGCCATTTTGTGTGATTGTGCCCACCACACTATGTCAGAATTCCTAAGGTGCCCGCAGGCTCAAAAAAGGTTAGGACCCTGATCTACTAACACCACTATAAAGGGGGAACTAGCACAGTTTGTGAAGGGCTAGGGTAATACCTTGCTCTGTAACAAGTTGAAAAATTTCAGGGAGTTTTTACATGGGAGAGCATTAAAAATATGACTTCTCTGCCGGTGGATGTTTCTTAACAAACGTCAAAGACATCCCCACAGGGAGTAGACATTATAGTACCTGAATCGGTGACTGAAGTATTTGTCAAATGTGGACAGGGTATTTATAGTGCTTGTTTTTGTTTTGTTTTAATTCCAGTGGGTTTGTGTGACAGACCCTTTCTTTAAACCAAGGGGATCCACACATCTTGTGACTTTGGGGGACCAGGCTGGTTTTGAGATATGAACCTTTCCCTCAGTTGCTAGAAGTTCTTATGGCAGCAAATGTTAAGGCAGTGGGTTTGCTGTCATGCAGTTCTGTATGGAACATGAAGAGCATAGAGATCCCTGAAGCAAGAGATTCAACAAAACAACCAAGATTTACATATGTGCAGGTTATGCTTTTGGTTACAAACAGGCTTCCATTGACTAGCCACTGTGTGGTCCCTTTCACACAAACACAGGATTCCACCCACACCAGCCTGCCCTTTCTCGAGAGTCAGACTAAATGGTACAAGGTCTCCTTGTCCCCAGAGATGGGTCTAACAACTGGGTATTCTATTCTCTCCCAGAGGTAGCGCTAAACCAAACCATTCACTATCAGGCATAGCTATCCTTTAAAACTGTTTGCTCTCTTGCTTAGGCAGACCCAAACTATCACTGCCCGCTCTCCGAGGCAGACCTGAACTCCATTCCTGCTCTATTTCCCTCCAACATTCCATCCCGCCCCCCCAAAGTGACTGGATGCTGGAGCAGCACTCCCATAAGCTGTTTTACCTCTCAGGGGCAGGATAGCCCCCTGTCTATCAGTTTGGTTCACAGAAAAAGGATAAGTTTGTTCATTCAAAACTCAGCTTTGAGTTTTCTGTTTACCAACAGCAAACTCTCTCACTATATCAGTACCTATTTTTCAAATGCCAAGGTTAAACACTGGACTTGTTTTGTGGCCCTTGTTTAATGAGCAGTTAGAACCCAAACCTGCCTAGAAACCATGGTCTCTTAAATCTATAATGACTGTAATTAGAGTCCACTCCAACACACTCTAAATTGTGGCCACTACAAGTAATTGCAGCAATCCCTGTGTTGCACATGCATTAACTGTAAAGATTCAGGGTTTCAATGAGCTAGTTTCACTGGCTTTATGTTGCCACACCATTTACTACAATTAGCAAATGTAGTCTTAAATGCAAGTACCTTAGCTACAATGAGACATGAATCGGGTTCATAATGTGAAAGAATCCAATGACTCATCACAAGGCACCCTGCTCAAATATTTAAAGCCTGCAATAAAGAGGCCTGTCAATTTAACCTACGAAGAATCTTACAAGAATAAGCAAAATCCAACCAAAGTCAAGCTCAGTTTTAATCCCATTCACTGGGCACAAGTTGAAGTTCTCTAATGGAAATCAGTGGGACTCAATAGTGCTCTACTTTACTTGGGTCACAGTCAACCCTTCTGGATTTTTTTTTTTAATCTAATTTCTGCAGATCCAGTTGTCCCCATTCACTGAAACTGTACTCATTTTTTCCTGCCTCACTTCATGGTATGAGTATTGATGTTACTGCTTATTCCTTTCTAGAGCATTTCTGGGGCAAGTGATGCTCTGTCATCTTGGTGCTGGGGGGGGGGGTCAACAGTGGGAGGGCTTCTAATGTCCTGGCCCCACTGGTGGACCTCCTGATGGCACTGGTATTTCTGGCCACTGTGGGATACAGAGTGTTGGACTGGATGGGCCTTTGGCCTGATCCAACATTGGCATCTCTTATGTTCTTATGTTCTTAAATACATATTATACAGACACAGTGAAACCGTATCTAGAACAAAGTTAAGAGTCCAGTGGGCATCTTTAAGACCAACAAAGTTTTATTCAAGGTATGAGTTTTTGCGTGCATGTGAAAACATGTTCTACTGCTTCTATTGCTTCAAACCAACACAGCTGCCCACTGGATCTATCTTGATAGATTTTCTGGAGCTAGCCAGACTTACTGGGTCAGTGACCAAACAGCAAGAGTTGGTTGACCTAAGAAACAAAAGTCAGGATCAGGTCCAGTAACCCATCTTTGCCTCAGCTTTATGACAGCCAAAATATTGTGCATTTCATTCACACAGAGCAGGCAGTTAATACTTATGGTAAGTGCAACAGACTGAATTTAGAAGTCTAGAATTAACATTCTAAGAACAGGAACCAGACCAATCCCTGCAATGAGAGTCGCCTCCAAAAATGTACCTGAACTGAAGCAAATTTGGAGAATACCTCTCAGACAAAC